ATCATTCATCAAGGACTAGAACATCCAGGCCAATCATCAGTTGTGTTTCTGCCAATGATTGACCTGTACTCTGGAGACAAAACGTATATTTTGTCCACCTTGGATTTTGTTTGTGACCTGGCTATCAAACACAATGCTCCACCCATTATTGCGTTTGATCAGCCACTGTACTGGAAAGCAGCAGAGATGATCATGGATGCACCACAGAGTAGTCCCCTGAAAAGCATAGTCTTTCTTAATGCTTGGAGGTTTTCATACTTTTATGAACCTACTTGGTGCAATATGCACACTGATGGAAGGCACAGGACTCAGGAACATTATGGAAGTTGTCTATGGATCAAATGCCGTCCAGCACATGATGACTGGAAAGTCAGTGCAAAGAGCTTTTCGTGGACATTTGCTGGTGGACAGATGTCTCAATCACCTGGTTGTGTCAGAGCTGCAGGAGGATGACTCACAGTTTGAGTTATTGTTGAACCAAGCTGGAGAGATGTACTCATCCATGGTAATGAAAGAAACAACTTTGAAGAGTGCTGCAGCACCAGATATGCTAAACCAAATCAAGGAAAAGGTGGACACGAAGAGGGCAGACCTTAGCACAAGGTCAAAAACCAGCCGGCTGTGGGTAAACTATCAGAAGATGCTGCAGACAGCCCGAGCTCTGATCAAAGCAGATCGTACAGGATCTTGGAAGATGCACTTGTGCGCAATGCTGGACTGTCTGCCAATATTTGCCGCCGCTGGGCACTACAACTACCTGAAATCGGCATATTTCTACCTCCAAGAAATGTGCCAACTCAAGACCAGGCACCTTGATGTACATGACAAGTTTTCCAGGGGTTTCCATGTGATCCGCCGCAGCAACCAGCACTGCGCAGGCCTTAGCTCTGACCTTGTCATCGAGCAGACATTGATGCGATCCTTGAAAAGCAGTGGAGGCTCGACCCATGGAAGTGGAATGACTGAAGAAATGCGAGCATTGTGGACCATGTCTACACCCATCACATCTGAATACAACAACGCCATGCAGGAATTCAATGACCTCACCTACACGACCAGTGGTTACAGCAAGAAAATCGTTACCGCCAAATAATTTGTTACCCCAGAACGTCTGCCTCCAACTGAGTCCTCAACCAAATACCACTGCCAAAGAGTTTACTTCCAGAACATGGTGTGGATTGGAAAGGAAGGTGACATGAACACAGTGGATTGGGGATGGAAACTGGTGGACAACCGGTTCCTGCCAGTTATGACCAGTAAGTCTGCTGCCCCAGAAAGCCTCCTGCAGATAATCAACTGTAATTGCACAACTGCCTACCGAACACAATGGTGCAGTTGCAGGGTATATGGACTGCCATGCATGCCTGCTTGTGGACCATGTTAAGTTGGGAATTGTGAGAATCACTATAATCAACCTCTATAGGAGGAAGAGTGTGACAACTAATGGTAAATCTAGTAAAGGTCACAGTGCAAAAAAGTATAAAAAATAAACCAGAATAAGAGAAAACAACTGAAGAAAATAGAAAAAGTTATGTATAAATAAGAAAAGTATTAAAAAAATACTTTCCAGTGATGTCTGTGAGATATTCACTCGACAAGCTCGCGCATCTGCGCCGCCGCGCGCTCAATCCACTCAGCGTGCTTTGTTCATCAGCTCGCTCACATCAGCTATACAGGCGTTAATACTGAATGTTTAACATTATATTCATTGCATACATATACTTCGTAGACATCCTTAATCTCTAATAACTCCATTCTGCTGTCTGTGTTTCATTGTCTGAATATGGCGCTTATCACATGCTGTGTGGTATCAGCGTTTGGTATCGGGGCATTTTAACAAGTATGAGTACAGGAGCTCAGTATCGGGCCGATACTCGGTATCGGTGCATCCCTAAAAAAAATATAAAAAACAAAAGGCAAAAAAAAACTAAACGCATTAATGCATATATAAAAAAATATAAAAAAAATAAAAGGGGTTAGCGGTACTGAGCCTTCACATGGCAGCCCTGTTTTGACTAATTTTACAGTACCACACAGTTCTAATGAATTTATTCTTTATTGGAATCAAAAGAATGGTTATGAACCACAGAAACCACCAACACTAGGCAAAACAATATGAGAAAGGAGAAATATGCAATTACTTAAGAGAAATTGTACTTATTTTTGCATAAATATGCTTGTAACCAATTGCTTTAATATATAATTGTACTTGTAATCACTTATCTATCATGCAAATATGCTAATTAGAATATTACATGGCCAAAACATGTATCAGGGACCAGTATTCCTGGTCTTGGAGGAATACAAAGGAGTAATGGTCATTTTAAGGACCTGACAGCCGCCATTTTGAAAATGGGGCCTTTCTTGGAGTCAAACTTTGGTAAACTTTTAGTATGTTTTTAAGTACATCTGATACTACTGTAAACCACTGAGAAACCTTTTGTTAGATTTTCTTTGGGGTCAAGCCATATTTGCTCTTGACATAAATTTGATCGCAATCTCGAAATAAAATCGGTTTATCACCGAGCCCTAGATATAATGCAATGCAGTACAATGCCGATTGAGAGCTGAAGAAATAAAGGCTCCTCAGAAGATGTGAGATGTTCTGGAGGCTTGTGAAGATCATTCCTCCGCTGAGGAACAGTGAAAGTAAAGCTTCTGGAAACAAACGCTCCTCAAAAGATCCTGAGGATCAGATTTGAGACTCTAAAACATGATTGATGGAGAATCAAGTAAAGCTGAGCTGCTTCAGTGCAGTACGTGTTCATCTGGAGATATTACTGCAGTTATTCTGACCTTTACTTGATAAAAATTACTCGAGATCTGACACGAGAAGTGTTGTTACAATTACACTGAAAGAGCTTTGACTGGCTAAAACACTCAATCAGACGACAGAAGACATGAGGAGATCGAGTGAAACAGGTTTAACAGCCCAGTTTTGATCATTTAGAGGCCTTAGAAATAATATACAGTGGATACAGTAGCTTTATAGGGTAAAAATATGATAAAAATGAATGAAAAAGGAAGAAAAAGACACAACTAACCTTCCAAAAGAACCAAGAGCAAAGCAGTCTTCATCATGAACAACTTCTCTTAATCTTCAATCTGCTGCAAAATAAAAAAAACTTTCTTATTCCGTCTCTAACAGTCTGTGTAATGAGTTTCTTGTCCTCTCTTGAGTATCTGAATGACATTAACTTTCCCTGTATTTTGATTTTACATACTTTACCAAAGCTACTGAAATTCAATCCGTGACTGCAGAGATTTGCATGACAAGCATTTATATAAACTCACAAACAAGCAAAGGTCAAGTCTACAACATGTCGAACATATACAACGCATAAAGCCAAAAACATTAAGTATTGTATACGCAGCATACATTTGTGACCCTGGAGCACAAAATCAGTCATAAGGGTAAATTTTTCCAAATTGAGATTTATACTTCATCTGAAAGTTGAATAAATAATCTTTCCATTGCTGTATGGTTTGTTAGGATCGGACAATATTTGGCCGAGATGCAACTATTTGAAAATCTGGAATCTGAGGGTGCAAAAAAATCTAAATATTGAGAAAATCATCTTTAAAGTTGTCCAAATGAAGTTCTTAGCAATGCATATTACTAATCAAAAATTACGTTTTTATATATTTACGGTAGGAGATGTACAAAATATCTTCATGGAACATGATCTTTACTTAATATCCTAATGATTTTTGACCCATACAATGTATTGTTGGCTATTGCTACAAATATACCCAAGCGACTTAAGACTGCTTTTGTGCTGCAGGGTCTCACATTGTTCTCATTACAGTACCTTTGATGCATAAACTGTGTAAAAATCAAAATAAAAGACTAAGATTACATTATAGTGACTCGCTGATATTAAGTAAATATACTCATTTTAAACATGTAATCAGCTAAAATAGGTAATGACGTGTGTAGGATATCAGACAATCTAATATTTGGTCAAAACATGGTTGAAACCTGAGGAGCCCAAATTCCACAGAGGCCCAAGACAACAGGATGCTCATAAATCAGACCCTAGCCAGTCTGAAGCAAGCCTAACCAACTCTTTCACAGAACAGCTTTCAACATTAACACAAAAGAACACTTATTGACAATTCCAAGGAGATTGTCAATTTTGGGGCAAGTTATCAAGAATAATGGTCAAAAGAGATGCACAGCGTGACCAGCACATGGAAGCATGTGATAGTGATCACAAGCTCTTCGGATTGACTTTTCCCCCCACCTAAGAGAAAGAACAGACTGAGATTCCTTACAGACATTTTAACCTCTCTGGTCTTCACAGAACGCATCCTTACGTCCACAGAATGCCAAAGAAACTGCATTTCCATGTAAATATGCATCTAAATGACACTAAAAGGACTTGTTGTGAGCAACTAATCATTGCTATGCAATAACTCCATATTATGTATGTAACCCACATGTGACTTATCTGGTCTTAATCATTTATTGTGAATGAATTTTTAATAACTATTGAATCGCTTAATGGTTCATATTCAGGTTTGGTATGTGTGAGTTTGAGAATTCATGCTTGAAACGTTTATTCTAATCACTTCGTTGTCAAATGTATCATATTCTTGTTATAGAAATCATGTCCAAATGTATACTCTGCCAGAGCGAGAAAAACGCGGACCATGTGAATGATGAGATAACATTTGATTTATTGAATGGGGAGGAGAAATATACAACACCCCGAGCTAGTGTTTTCACTATATTTTGGATATAAATATCCATTGCAGAATTGATGTCACACGGCTCGTTCACTGAATCGCTGGCCGTCTCAGTGATCAGCCGTAAAACAGTGATTCTGTCCTAATTCCCTTACATATTAATGGTGGAGTTCCCTTTAAAATCTTAAATGATTCCCTTTGAGCTAAATTGACCTGTTTCCCTTACACGTGTCAAATCAAAGATTGCAGTTCTTACTATACTATTATTTAATAGCGGATCAATAAAACAACTTTCTTTTGTCCGTTTTTCAAGGCCCAGTCTGTTGAGTGGCATCCCTCTTCTGGAAGACATTTCCATCTGGCTGAATCTTCCATGAGAGTTTTGCATTTGTTAGTCCATTCTCCTCAAGTCTCTTCCCCATCTGAAGAACACAAACAGACTTATACTACTTAATACTCTTGGTAAGTTTCTCCATTATCACTGTGCTTTCCGTATACTGTACATGCTCTTATATAAACTCACCTGCAGCAGAATCTCTGTCTTCACTGCAGGATCATTCACATTTTGACTTGAGTTGACTTCCAGTCTCACCGTCTGTTTGCGTCTCTCTGTGCAACACGAAAATACACACAGCGATCAAAGTATGATGGAATAATATAATATTTTGCAGGTGTATTTTTTTTTTTTATCATAGCATTTTAGAAAAGTAACTGCTATTGTGCTATTATCCCATTTATTTCTACAAATTCAGGACACTGAAATAACATATGTAAAATAAATAAAGCAATGGAATAAATAAAAACAATACAATTTTAAATAAAAAAATATATAAAATATATAAAGAACGAAACAACAAATCAACATGAATATATACAAAAACAATTCAACAATTAAATATAAAAGACAGAAACTTCTGAAAATCTCAGCCAGTCCATAAAAACAAATTAAAATAACAAAAATAAATATATACATATATACATACACACACATAAACTAACCCGTTCCTTTATATTTTTCTGCAATTACACATCTTGCCTAAATTACAAAAAAAAGCACATATCCCCTGAAAAGTTAGGAGAAAAATCAAGAACAAAAATTTTTAATATTCATTTTTGAGAGAGGAAAACAAGGCACAAGCTTGATTTTCCAGACAAACTAAACAAAATGATCAGAACAACAGAAATCATCCTAAACAAAAACACATCTGGGCTGCGTTTCCCAAAAGCATTGTAAGCCTAAGTACGTCGTAGTCCCACTGCCACCAATGGAGCTTCGATCAACTTAGGCTAACGATGCTTTTAAGAAACACAGCCCTGGACAGTATTTAACTGTATTTTATACTAAATCAAATTCAGTCTGTGGTGATATACATGCTAAGACTCTAAATCTCAGTCTGTTGTTAGGACTGATTGTTATGTTGTGTCAGTGATCCTTCTCTATATCAACAAGACAGCGGTTTAATCAAAGTTTTGCACTTTTAAATCAAAGTCGTGAAATGTGTGCAAATACTCACCAGTATAGCAAACAGAAGGACGTGTTCCTTTACAGTCCAGATCATTAAGCTTCACCTCCTGAGTCACTACCACGCAGTACTGACTGCTTTCCCAGTTGTTCGGTTGATTGGGAGCCCACGGCATGAACGTGGATGAGCTCTGATCGGACCAGACCCAGGGAGCGTTGCTGTCTGTCCGACTGAGTCCGGTCCACACGTCTCCATTATGAAACTGCCGTATGACTCTCATCATCTCATCCAAATCTGTCTGCTCGTCGATGGTGGCCAGATCAATGTAATTCCGTCGGCAATGCATCTGCGCGTCTGACCAGCTCATCGACTTCGGCACAAAGTAAAACATACGAGTCTGTGAGAATGCCACATGCGTCAGAGCTGAAGATACAATAAATTTAATTAGTTAAATGTGTCATAGTGTGTATGAACTACAGCTATATGTTGTTGACATTTTGAACTGGGATTAAATGAACTAAAACTTTAAATTCAATGTTTGATAGGTGCCTCTATGACATTATCCTTGTTTAAACATTAATAAATAATGAAAAATGAACTAACCTGCCAGAAGAACCAAGAGCAAAACCCTCTTCATCATGAATCACCTATAAGAAAACAAACTAAACTGCTATTAAAAAAATTATCTGGTTTAACCTACAAACTAACCAAGGTACTAAAACATCAACACTTTATCAAAATGCTTCCTTTACCAATAAATGAGTAGTTGATTTAAAAAAAAACTTACTCAAAGTAATGAGTGGATGAATGGAGATCAATCTCTGAGATTACTGCCAACTCAATCCTTCTAAGTCTAGTTACATTAGATTGATTAAAGGTCAATACACATTACTTATCAAAGACTGCTTCACTTTAGGCATTAGAAAGTCAAAAACTCTTCTGGAAGTTTAAATAATGACTTCTTACCAGTGGTGTGCCTCAGGGTTCGGTGCGCAGCCCTCTTCTCTTCTGGATTTACACCACCTCACTGTGAGACGTAATACATGCAGCTCTATCTCCTCATTCTCAAAACCACACCTCCTGTCAGCTCACATCTCAGCCCATATCTCAGCCTATCCTAACACCAGCTGAAATCTGTGAGGACACAAACTCCCGATCATCATGGTCAGTCCATTAGTTAACCGCGTCACTAATACCAGACAGATGTAAATTAATAATAACCGAAACAATTTAAAAATAAATAATTTGGAATGAACTAAAATTAAATGTTAGAAAAAACAAAATACAACAAATAAATATAAATACATATAAAAACAAATCAACAATTAAAGGGATAGTTCACCCAAAAATGAAAATGTGATGTTTATCTGCTTACCCCCAGGTCATCCGAGATGTAAGTGACTTTGTTTCTTCAGTAGAACACAAACAGAGATTTTTTAACTCAAACCGTTGCAGTCTGTCAGTCTTATAATGTCTGTGGATGGGAATCACGGCTTTGAGAGTAAAAAAAAAAACATACACAGACAAAACCAAATCAAACCCTGCAGCTCGTGATGATACATTGAGGTCTTAAGACACGAAACAATCGGTCTGTGCAAGAAACTGAACAGTATTTATATATATTTTTTTACCTCCGATCCACCGCAATGTCCAACTGTCCTGAGCGCATTCACAACATCCGGCATGTGACATCAAATAAATAAGGTCGGGCAAAAAATTCCACGTCTGATGATATATCAAAATCGTCTCCCATTGTGATGACCTGTACTTCTAAATATCGACAGATCGTTTCCGCACATGCATCTACTATCATAGATATGTATAGATGCCCTATTCGACCGCTACAGATATGTTGATGCGTCCGCCATTTCGGAACGTATCGCAGCTCAAAGAAATAGTCACTAATGAGGCATCTACTTATGTATATATATATATATATATATATATATATATATATATATTTCTACTATGCCAGAGCATTACACGCGTCACGCGCCAGATGTTGTGAACGCGTTCAGACATTGCGGTGGATCAGAGGTAAAAAATGATATACTGTTCAGTTTCTTGCACAGACCGATTGTTTCGTGTCTTAAGACCTCAATGTATCATCACGAGCCGCAGGGTTTCATTTGGTTTTGTCTGTGTATGTTTCTTTTTACTCTCAAAGCCATGGAGCCCATTGACTGCCATTACAGGACTGATAGTTTGAGTTAAAAATCTTCGTTTGTGTTCTACTGAAGAAACAAAGTCACTTACATCTCGGATGACCTGGGGGTAAGCAGATAAACATCACATTTTCATTTTTGGGTGAACTATCCCTTTAA